GGCATGGGATGGGTTTGGGGGGTGAAGGCCAAGTGCTGGGGTGGCCTCACACTGTTTCTCCTTATTTTACACCCAGACCCAACCCCTTTGCACCCCTCAACACCTTGGCTGTGCTGGCAGCACCCATGGGTGACACCAGTGCTGCCACCACGCCATGATGCAGCTCCGGTTGTCCCACACCAACCTCAATGAGGAGCAGGCACCCGAGCTGCTGGTGAACCTGTTCCACTGCCTGTTCCTTGCAGCTGCAGAGCCTGAGGAGCATCCAGCCTCTCCTCCCCGTTTTGGGTCAAAACCAGCCCTGATTAGTCCATTTCCCTTGTTGCAGATACAGGTTTCCACTCCCAGCCCCATTCCCACCTCCATCCTTCCTTGTTTCCAAAGGATTTTCCCAAGTCTCTTTCCTCAGTGCCATGGGATGGAGGTTCAACACTGGGGGCTTGCTTTGGGATGCCCCTGGGGAGAGCCCCCACAGTACATGGTGATGGTGGGCATCACCATGGGGGGGCTGTGGGGCCACGTCCCATCATCACCCCCCCGCCCCGTGTTGACCTCGGGAGGGGCAAGAGGAGCCACTGGATGGGTGTCTGCAACCGTGTCTGGAGACCCCCACCCACCACAACCTGCAGGAGCCAGTGCTGGATGAGACCCTCATCACCAGTGAGCAGCACCAACTGGTCCAGCTCGTGGAGGACATCACCCAGAGGATGGGTAAGAGCCATCAGCAGGATGCTGCTACATCCCTGTGTCCCACTTTGGGGACCAACCCAACCTCTTGTGCTTCCCTATAGGGAGTATGAGCATCCATGAGACTGCAGGACATCAGGTTGTCTTCTCCAACCATGAACAGGAAAGAGCTCAGGATGTCTCTTCCAAACAAGGTGGGAACATGGCAACCCCCATTCCCAGCTCTTTTTGCACCAGGAGACCCCTGGATGCAGCTTCTCCAGCTCATCCCAAATCCGTATCCATCTGTTCCACACGCAGAGAACAACCCGGCCTTTCTCGTGGCCGAGCGGCGCCAGGTGGAGGAGCTGATGGAGAAGCTGCAGAAGGCCAAGCAGAGCCTGGTGCTGATGCTGGCAGCTGTGAAGGACGCACAGAGCCAGGTGGAGAACCACCTACAGCACATCCGCACCACCCTCCATGCAGACGGTGAGCTGGGGACGGGTGCTGGGGTGCTGGTGGGTGCTGGTGGGTGCCAACACCAGACTCTTGCTCCTTGTCCCACAGATCAGAGCTCAGGTGTCATCTCCACCTGCACGCTGTATGTCTCCTACTTCGCGCTGCTGGTCTCACTACTGGTTCCCACACTGCCCCGTGTCACCGTCCTCCTCCTCTTCCTCATCTCCAGCGCCCTCAGTGGGGTCCTCAGCATCCCAGCGCTCTCCAGTCTCCTGGCCCTTGCTGTGGCAGGTGGGGATGGATGTTGGGAGGACATTGTTTGGGGGTACATCAACCTGGGGGTGCTCTGTCCTCTCCCACCCTCTCTGTTCTCCGCAGGGCAGTGGCTGGGGGGCGGGT